CATTTTAATATTTCCTAACAGAAAAAGTGGTGGCTTTAAAGCAGCCATAATGAAAATAACACTTTAAAATTTTTAAGGGTGTTGCTGGTAGTGAGATAACCAAATATTCTCACCCAGCCCTGTAAGTCCCACTCAGCGAAGAAATGTTCAGTAATTAGTTTTCATTTTCTGTCCTGCAAATCTACAGCGTACGTTCAGTCTCTGTGGTTCAATCAACCTCATTTCCAGCTCCAATAAGCAGCTGTTTTCATTGAAAAAAAAAATCTTTTTTTTTAAAAATTAAAAATGCTCCGATAAACCCAACGCATGCTATCAGCCTGCCACAAAGTGACTCTAACAAGTGCAATATATTTCACCAGGGAGCTACTGCAGTCCAAAACAATCATTAAAACGAGTGCGTACCGGACCTACTTCATTAAGTAGCTGGAGGCACATGTCTGGAAATAAATGCTCATATTGCTTCAGGTCTGCTGTAGTTCTTAATAAGCAATTGTTTCCCACCGTGTTCACCATCACACTGAAGCTCCTTTTTTTTTTGGTGGGGGGAGAAGGAGGGATGTGCAGCTTYGAGAGTCTCTTTTACCRAASTTTTAGTTTTATTCCGCRAAGACTAACCAGYCTCAAGCTCTTTCCGTGTGTCCATTACTCTGCTCTGAGCAAGCAAGATTTGCCACGCACACGTTTGACTCTCAAGTCAGTAACGATAACTGAGGGCTATTATTGTTGTCTAATCATTTTAATAAATATTTCTGTTGACTCTAGCCATTAAACAGCATTAACCTTTGACTATGAATGTATGCCCGGTCAATACTAAGCCGCTGAGACCTTCAGATGTCGTCTTGCACCTGACTTTCTGTCGATAGAGGTCAATAAAAGTCATAAACTTGCATTTAACCTTCAACAATGGCATCTGTTAAGCAAATAATGMTGGCATTCAATCACTGTGTGAACAAGATAACACTGATTTTATTGGTATAAAACTAATGATACAGTAAGAACGCAATGTAATATATTAATAAATATTATTATTATGTTTATTAAAAGTCAAGAAATCCAAGGTCCTTTTCTGGTTCCTGCATCTGCAACAAGAGGCTTTGGGGATGGAACTGTTTTGACAAATGTGCAAGTTTAAAATAGAAAACATGAAATGCAAATTCATTCAAAAGATGCATAGATGGCGAATTCTTGGTTATAGGCCTATTTTGCCTGTCATGCTTCTAAATCCACCATGAAACCWCCTCTCAAGACGGATAAAGATTATCCTGATTTTAAGCATCAAAACTATCTCCTTTATGAGTCATTTAAAACGCAGACAATCTGAGACTGAGTAAAGATATATTCTTATTATTAAATCCAAATCGGAGCTTTGAGTATATCATTCATCAGGTCTAAGGAAAAAAAACTTTTTTTTTTCTGATTTATTCCAATCCGATTACTCAAATCTTTGCCATAAGGTCTTGAAAGACTGCACTGGAAGTGGATAACGYCTTAAAAATCTAAAGCAGATGGAAACACTTTAAAACCATTAAAATTTCAATAATGCAGGTATGCACCGGATATACTGAATTAGCCACAGACACGTGCGCAGGTCATTCACTGAGAGAGTAAGGGTTCACTGCAAATGTGGCAAACCATAGAAATTTCAATCATCTAGACTCGTAAAACAGTTACAAACATATTACAACTTAAACRATCTTGCAGCATCAAAGATAAATCCTCCTACATGGTCATCATCATTATATAGCAATCAGTTAAAAACCTGTATAAGTCAAACCCTACTTAATATCACTATGGCTCACTAACTCATTAAATGAGACCACCAACTGTGTTTTGATTAAATGATTAAATAGCACACGTTTATAAGAGGCTTTTGGGTTATTAACTTCTGTCTCRCACGGCAACATCACACATTGCTATACAGAAGATTAGCGGGGGTCAAATGACTCATTATCATATGTCACTCAGTGCTTTTTATGGGTAATTGCTAGAGAAGGGAAAACGCAAACCTTCCTTTTCATCATCTCGAGGTCTTGAGATGAGACATTTGACCTGCTGTTGTAACTAAGAAGAAAGCAGCCGTGAGGGCAGGCCGTCGGCTTTTACTTTCTTCTAACGGAGACGAAAAGAACAAGTTTGATTAGCTGGTCATCCAGGGACATGCAGGACCAGATTCTGCTTTTTGCAAACCGATTACAAGAAGCAGCGAAGCACAAGTAAAGTGTCAGTGACTTTGAAAAGAGCAGATGACAGGTAAAGGTCATGTGTCTGAATAGACATTAAGGATGTATAGTGTGAAACCATAAATTGATTTTAAACAAATGGATACCAAGCCTTTCTTTATAAACAGGATTAAATCATGTAGCTCACGTGTCAAACTCAAGGCCCATGGGCCAAATGTGGCTTGTTTTGGCATTTTATGTGGCCTGCAAGAGCTTCAAAGATGTGGCAAAGTCTTAAATATGCTGCTTAAAGTCACTGCATTTTCTACAGCTACACTTGCTGAGGCCCAGTTGTACTAGGAAGTGAGAATTTCCCATTTACAYATTGTAAATTTAAACTGGAATAGTAGGAACTCCCTGTCAGAAAGTGGGAGAGTTTAGAGTTCAAGACAGCAGCTGCTCACCACAGCTCAACCGTGAGTAAAACTTTCTCACTTTTACTTTTAATAGTATTTCTGTATTTTGTATTTCCCATTTAGTCAGTCATAAACATACTTTTTAGTCTTTATAAGACAACATGTTAAAACAATGTTTAAATGCAGGAAATACCAGGGAGAGCTTAGTTATTGTTTGTTAGCGGGGCTCGGCGAGGAACGTGTCGTTTCATGTTTAATCAAAGTTAAATACAAAACTTTTAAGACAATTACAACTGGCCCTTTCAGGACCACCATAATGATCATGTGCCCCTCAGACAAAATGAGTTTGACACCCCCCAATGTAGTTCTTATCTTAAAAGATGGCAATACCACTGTCATGACAATCACTGTCAGGATGCAGGTCACAAAAGTGCATTTCCCATGCATGACTTATTTTGACATTTTTAAACATCTTTCAAATTATTTTTACGAGCTCTGAGCAGCAGTCATGTTTGACTACTCCCACCTACACCTGGCAACTATAAAAGTGAAGAAAAGAAGAAAAATAATCCCATCTCTGTCTTTGTATTATTGAGGTCCTTTACCAATGTTTAACCATACTTTTAATCATTGTTTATTTCATGACTGTATGGCCTGCAATTCTTTCATTCAGTTTTTTACGACTCGTTTCTATTTTTAACTCRGTCATTGGTTACACCTCATGGTTTTAGGACTGCCTTTGCAGATTGTTGTTTTCACCCTCTGTGCTTTTTCTCTGTCTGGAAGGTAGGCTGTTTTTGTTCCACTGTGTTTCAAATTTAGCTGGAATGAAAACTAAATAGTCAAACTTTCTGAAATAAAATCATAAGATCCCATAGCGATAATATTGCACGTTGCCTTCAGTTATAGACATTTTATTCTTGAGTTGTTGCTGTTTTTTTGAAGAATTTGCCACAGTAAATAAATAAAACTCCCTGTTTCAAAGAGTTAAACATGCCTCATGTTTCTTTCATGAGAAGAAGACTTCTGCATGACTGCTTGCTGAATCTACATTGCAGGCATACAGTATGTAGATTTTGGACTAATTTTGAACTAAGACATAATATTGCAATCTAAAACACGAATGCTGTACGTTTAACAGCTTTCTTTCTTTGACAMTTCTTTAAAATGTCACAATACATGTGCTTATGGCAGAGGGTTTTTTTTTGCACACATCTACTCAACGAAAGCCAAATAATCTAGAGTGTCGTCTCGTTAAAGAGGGAGACTAATGAAAAAAAGAAGAGCACATTTGCTGCGAGAAATTAAACAGAGAAGCAGATAAATCCAGTCTCGCTCCATGACGACAGAGACGAGCCTTTCTGGAGACAATAGCTTCTAAAAGACTCTACCTGCTCTGCCACCAGCAGCACTGGTTCAGTGAGCAGCTCAGTCAGATGCTTCTCGACACATCATTTCAAGGCTACGTCATCGCCAAGCCAAAAAAAGGGACTCCGTGTTATGTTATGCATCGCTGAGAAGTTTATTTTATTTTTTTTTTATTTCTGCTCTTATCCTGTTAAGCTTTGTTTCTGTGGCGGGTTRATATGGCGGACCGTGCGAGGGATGAAAACCTCACAAAGGCCCAGCCGGGCGAGAAAAATGCTCTCCGGAGCGACGACAAGAAAAAAACKAGAACAAGAAGAAGAACGTGAACAGAAAAGTAGGCCTTTGCTACAAAACGCCACTGAGGTTTGGAGGGGTGTTATGACATCACATGCACAATTCACTGTAGCTTTGCACAAGATATTTATATTAATGAAGACAGCAACAGCTCTCGACACTCATCGTTGCCCACTCTGCCGCGTTTGTGCCCCACAGGGTCGATCTCCTCTCGTGTCATCCTACCATTCAAGAAAACAGGCTACTGCTGAGCACATCATCAGTCTCTCCTGAGCKCCCCACGCCACGGTGGGTTTGGTTTTGGCACGGAACGGTAATCTACCCTAAATGATGGTGATAAATAGACATACGTCCCATCACGTGGTGAGCCTATGAAGATGGACGGCATTTACTTGCCAGCGGGGATCAAACCTGATGGAGATTTATGGGATTTCGAGGCTGGCCTACATATTTTTGTCTTGTCAGACTCCTTATAGGCAGGCAGCCCCTCTCTCTGTGTATGTACGTAAGGGGGCCTCGCTGTGAGCGAGAAGAAGAGGAAGAAGGAGGCTTGGTGTGTCAGACTTGGCACGGGAAGCAGGAGGGGGGAAAAAACGGAAGAAAATGTGTTTCCACAACGTGACTGCATTCAAAGCCCTGAAAACTGTAATTTGAGATATGAATTCATTACACGGCTTCTCTTCAACAGACTTGCGGGGAGGAGGAAGGTAATGCGGTGCAACAGCGCCCCCTAGCGAACCTCCCCCCTTGCAAGACCGGTTACCTTTGGTGTCACAACGCGGCGCGGCTGCTGCGGCTCTGGAGTTGGGGAGCTTTTGCGCCTTCGTCTTCGGAGTCCGTGCGATGGWTGCTGGGCTTTATCCTCACTTCTGTGGGTCGAGGGCCCACGCGGGGGCCCGCCACGACCCGTGCGCTTAGGGGCACTGGCATTTCGGTTCCTTCTCACAGCGTCAGTGAAAGCAGAGCAAAAGTGTTCGAACTTGTTCTGGGGGGGAGTGGAGGGAAAAAAATTAAAAAGAGGAAATATTATTCATGGCGCTGCAGCTTCAGGAAGCACAGGCTTGTTGACTTTAATGTTTATATAATGTCATCATGACTTTTAAGCTGTTTAAGATCACAGATCAGTGGGTTTATATGTTGGAGAGGGGTGCGAGTTAAATCTAAAGGTGGTCAAATTAGAAGCTGTGAAGTAGAGAGAGAGAAAAAAAAGGGAAAAGGAGTGGAGGAAAAACAGCCTGTGGCTCCTGTATTCCCCTCACGCTCCTCTCCACGGTTTATGTAGGGCATGCAGCAGGTTGTGTGTGTGTGGAGGAGGACTCGGACTCAACCAGGATCACCAACCAGCCCAAAAAATAAATAAATAAATAAATAAATAAAACTGCTGCTGCTCCAGTTTGAGGAGGAGAAAGGCGAGCGCGTGGCTGCTCTAATGATTATATTCAGGGAAGAGTTTAATTGAACTTAAACGCTAAAAGACAGACACACTGCTCACCCCATTCCCGTGACACATCTCTCCAGGCGGCCAGGTGGAGATGACATTGCAGCCTGTTACTCCATTCCGGTGCCCTCGGCAGGAGTGGGGTGGGGGGGGTGGGGGTCACAAAACGACTCCTCACCGGCCGGTTAATCCATTAGCTTCTCTCTCCCTTCCCCCCCAAAAATAATAATATTAATAAATAAAAAACACCCAAATCAGATAAATCCACCTGTCTGGTTCTGAAGACCTGCGCCCTCCACCTCCTTCCTCCTCCTCCTCCTCCTCCTCCCCCTCTCCCCCTCCTCGGGTAAAAAGGTATTCCTCTCGATGTCAAACGCGGTCCGTTCCACATAAAGAACAATAAATAAATAAACCAAAATAAAAAAAAAAATGGGGGAGAAAAAAAACACCCCAAAAAATAACTGTGTCAGTCAGACCACCTCGGATCCAAAACAAGCGTGGGGTTTTTTTTTGGAATCTCCAGCGGCAGCCCCGCGCGCGTTCCGCAGTGAGAGAGAGCTCGTGGACAGGTCCGCGCGCCTCCTCCTCCTCCACCACCTCCTCCTCCTCCGCCGTCTCTTCTCCTTTTCTCCTGTCTTCTTCTTCTTCCTCCTCCTCCTCCTCCTCTTATTTGCACCGCGCTCCGGATTCTTGGAGACTGAAGAGGGGATTCCGTCACAAATAACATCAAAACTCTCTCTCTCTCTCTCTCTCTCTCTCTCCCTCACACACACACACGCACGCACGCACACACACAAGCAGAGATAGAGGAGGAGGAAAGGAGAGGCAAAAAAATAAAAAATACGCACACTCTCCCACTCTCGCGCCCTCCTTTCCCCCCCTTTGCTGCTTCTTCCTCTTCTTGCGCGTGAGCTCACGCGCTCAACAAAACCCGGAACAAGTTTAAACGGGTCGACTTATTTCTCAGTACGGCGCGACAGTCAGACAGACAGACAGACAGACAGACAGACAAGACAGAGGTGATTTGACTGAACGAAATGTGGGAAACAGTCTCCAGTATTCTCTCTCTCTTTTCCTCCCCCAGCAGCTCGCCCGCCCACGCTTCACTGGCTGAAGGTACTCACACATCAGCCTGGTTAATTAAACATATGAAGGGGGGAGAGGGTGGGGGCGCAGACTTCATCTTCCCCGTTATGAATTAAAAAATGAAAGAAAAAAAGATACAGAATCTGGCGACTTAAACAGTGCGCACTTTGGGGATATGTGTGTGTGTGTG